CTTTTGATCTCATGGTTGTGAGTTCGAGCCCCACATTAGTGGTAGAGATTGCTTAAAAATAAAAAAAATAAAAAAATTTTAAGTTCTAAATACCCAGTCAGATATAAATAATTATAGGATGCAATTTTAGAGTTGCTGGTCTGTGAGTATATGCTAGATCCTGTGAGAAATGTAAATATTTATTAAGTGCAACTCTGGTCCTTCAGATATTCATAGTTTGGTAGTAAGATGCGCACAAGTATTTAGCCATAACAAAAGATAGAAGATAGGAAGTGCATAGTTGAGGTTGAGAGCTATCTTGGGAAACAGGAGTATTGGGATCAGTCTTTGAGTTGAAACCTGAGTAATCTCATGTAGTAGTAACTACAATTTAGGTCTGTTGAAAGTACAGGATTGCCATTAAAAAAAAGAACAATCCTAAACTTTTATTTTCAGGTTCTACCAATGTAAACCCTCCTGTCTGGCTTCACAATGGAGTGTAACTTCGTAATGTGATGTTAAATGTTTTGCACAAACACATAACAACCACATGCAGCAGATTTGGCTGTAGTACCGGATTAAATTAAAATCCTTAGGATTCTAGGGCCTAAAGTAAGACTTCCATATTACTTTCTGTTTATTTTTTAGAGAGAGAACACTCGTGTAGGTGGGGGATGGGGGGGGGAGCCAGAGAAAGAAAAAATCTTAAGCAGGCTCCATGCTCAGCGGGGATTGATCCTACTACCCTGGGTTCATGACCTGAGCCAAAATCAAGAGTTGGACACTCAACCGACTGAGCCACCCAGTCGCCCCAAGACTTCTGCATTACTGAAGTTGATTTTACTTCGTGCATTCTGTATATGTCGCTATTACCTACTTCTGAGATTGTTGAAAGGATTAGTGAAAATATACAATTACTGAAGTGCCAAGAAAAATGCTTGACACGTTGAAAGTACCTGATAAAAGTTTGCTCTCATTATTAGAAGACTGCTTTGTCTTCTAATTGGGTAATGATTCCATTGAGTAATAATAATAATAGATGAAACATTTTCATGGAATTTAATATGTGTCAGGTATTATTCTAAATACTTTACATATATTAACTCATTTAATCCTCACAAATAACCTATGAAGGTAGGTACCTTCCTGTTTTACAGAAGTGGAAACAAGGCTCTTCTGTGTATACTTGAGAATTCTCTTGTCTCGTTCTCTGAAAAGCTTTTAGGATTTTGATTGACATTGCATTGAATGTGTAATTTTTCTTGTATTATTGCTTTGGCTAGATTCTCTAGTATAGTGTTGAATTAGAAGCATTTGTCATGGTATCTTTGTTTTGTTCTGATGCTAAAGAGACTTTTGATGTTGGTCCTTTAATGCATATTTGCTCTCAGTTTTTAGGTTTTGGAAGAAGACTTTTCATCAATTTAAGGAAGTTCCCATCACTTTCTTAATCGCTGTCATTTTGGGGGGAGGTTTTTGGTGTGATTGGGCATTGAATTTTATACAGTGCTCTTCTTACAGCCATTGAGATGAATGTTACATTTTCATTCTCATTTGTTAATAATATGATGAATGGCATTTATAGATACTCTAAGCTTCTAATGCAAACCTGTCCCCCCTAGATTCCTGACATTATCCCAACTTTATCATATTACATTAAAATTTTTATTTTTATTTTTTTTAGAGGGAGAGAGACCACGAGTGGGGAAACGGGGGCAGAGAGAGAGAGAGAGAGAGAGAGAGAGAGAGAGAGAATCTTCAGCAGGTTCTACCCTCAGCGCAGAGCCCAGCATAGTGTCCTAATCCATGACCGTGTGATCATGACCTGAGCCAAAGTCAGGAGTCTGATGCTCTATTGACTAGCCACCCAGGCACCCCTCATTAAATTACATTTTAAAGACGTTAATGAATTTGATTTGTCTGTGTGGTTTTTGTTTTTTGTTGTTGGACTCTTCTGTGTTCATGATTTTCTTATACTGGCCATGAATGATTTATAGAGTATTCTATTTTATAGAAATATTTGTAAACGGTTGAATTGTCTTTTACTTGAAAGTTCAGTAGGACATGGGGGTAAAAACATTTAGAACTCGTGTTTTCTTTATGGGAAGATTAACCAATGATTAAGACAGACTGTTTTTTTAATAGTAATAGGATTATTCAGGCTATGTCTCTTTCTTTTAAACTAATTTAAATGGAAAATTTCAACTTAATAGAATAGTGTAAAGGAACTCCCCTATGCCTTTTCCTTTAAGTTACTGATATTTTTGCACACACATACATACTTCCTCTTTTCTTTTTTTGCTGAAGTGTTTTATACCAAATCCTAGACCAGTCATTTCACCAGAAATACTTCAATATGTATCTCTTAGTTAAAAGGATTTGTTTTAACACAGTAACTATGCTGTTATCACACCCAACAAAATTGATGATTTATTATTACCGACAACTCAGCCATATTTTATTTTCCTGATTTTCTTCTTAAAATGTGTGGGTTTTTTGTTTGTTTTTTTGCTTGTTTGTTTTTACATTTGGTTCGCAGGATCCAAATAAGTTATATCTAGTTGCTGGATCTGGTGTTTTTCCTTTTGTGTCATTGATTGGTTGCAGAAACTGGGACATTTATCCTATATAATTTCTTTTCAATTAAGATTTGGTGAATATTTTCTCAGGAACGTATCTATTTTTGGCCCTTGCAGTTTTTTATTACTTTTCTTCAAAGAACCAACTTCTTGGGGCACCTGGGTGGCTCAGTCAGTTAAGTGGCCGACCTCAGCTCAGGGATTGTGAGTTCAAGTACCACATCGGGCTCTCTGCTGTCAACACAGACCCAACTTTGGATCCTCTGTCTCCCCTCTCTCTCTGCCGCTCTCCCTCTCAAAATTTAACATTTCAAAAAGAAAAAAAAAAAAGTGCTGGGTGGCTCAGTTGGTTGATCAACCGTCCAACTTCAGTTCGAGTCATGATCTCGCAGCTGGCTCTGTGCCGATAGCTTGGAGCCTGGAGCCTGCTTCTGATTCTGTATCTCCCTCCCTGTCTGCCCACCCCTGTCCCCTGCTCAAGCTCTTTCTCTCAAAAACAAACATTAAAACAAACAACCAACCTCTGGTTTTGTTGTTACCCTCTCAGCTGTCTGTTTTTCTCTTCCATTGATAATTGTTTTTATCTTTGATCATCTTGCTATTAATTTTTTTCTAACATAACTTGGCTACTTACTACTTTTTAGCTTTATTTTAAGTTTTGAAATGTATTTTATTATTAATGTTTCTTTTGTGATTTCCTCTTTACCTTCCCACTACGTGTATATATATACTTTAAAAATTTCCAAATGAGCACAGATCATTTTTATTTTTTCCTAAACACTATAACTAAACTGATGATGGGATATTTCCTTGTATACTCCAGGGGAAAAGTAGAATGCAAAATTGTTCATAAAATATGTATGATCTTAGTTTTGTGAATTATGTAAATGGAAACAATGAAGGAAATATACCCATATATTAAGCAGTTGTCTTTCAGTAGTGATACATTAGGGAAGTTTTATTTGAAACCTTATTTGTATTCCAAAACACCTAAGACACATTTTGTTTTTATGATGGTGGAGCACAAAATGATTTTTCAAAAGGAAAGAATAATACTATAGAAGTCTGGACTCTGAATCATGCCCTGAGATCCTGGGGTGTGATTCAGGGCAATTAAAATAAGACCAGATGCTTAAGTGTGTTGGGACATTAGGCAGAGAGTTGGTGTATAGGTGGTGAGACTGTCCTTCCCAGAGAGTTACAGTCTGGATGCAGCAGTGGGGTAAGGGGTCCTGATAGGAAGAGATAGCAGCGGGGGAGGAGAGAGAGACACACACACACAGATAATTTCAGTGCCATGATAGGATGCTGTAAGAACAAGAAGGGCACATAGAGGAAGAGTTGTGCTTAGAAACCACGATTAATTGAACCAAGTAGGTCATTATCAAGTGGTATCTTCAAGGGATGGATTATTTTTTGATAGTATAATCAGTTGTAGATTCAAGTATATCTAATTATTAGATACCCAATAATGCCTTGTTAATGTGAAAACTACTTAGAGAATCAAGAGGAAAGAAAATTCAAAACACCTCCTATGTATATTGAGTTAATACTGTTAGTCCACAAATCAACCAGGGACAATTTTTACTTTTCAGGGGACATTTGGTAATCTCTGGAGACATTTTTGGTTGTCACAAAATGTAAGGGGTACTCCTGGCATTGAGAGAGACCACAGATCTGTTGAGTATCTTACAATGCACAGGACAATTCCCCTTTTCCTCCACAACAAAGAGTATCCAACCCAAAATGTTTAATAGTTCCAAGATTGAGAAACCCTGGGTTAATCCATAATTTGCATCCTCTTTTTAGTGGGGGTGGTTTGTATGTTGAAAGAGCTAGAGGCATGGTTTTTGTATCTTACTCTAGCTAGATTTTGATTAAGGAAAACTAATCTGTAGGCTGACGTCAGGTGAAAGTGAATTCATTCAGATCAAGGAATTGGTTTGTGGCAGGCACTGTGATAGGCACTGGGTAAAGAGTGGCAGACAGCCCATGTCTTCATGGAGCTCACTTTGAACGTTATGCAAATGGTGAATCTTTTGTATTCATTGTCTTTGTTATTATAACATTAAACTTCTTTTTCATTCTGTACTTAGTTTGGTTATTTTAACCTTCTCTAAGGAATTCTAGAATATTAAACAATTATATACTTTGTTTTCATGACTATCAGTACAAACCCAGCAACTCACATAATGGGTGTTGTTCTAAGATTTTTTCCTTGGCCTTTAGGTACAGTTCGTAAGTGTTTAAACCAAATATTCTCTAATTTTTAAATACATACGTAACAATTTTTTTTAGGGTAATGTGAAAAACCTCAATACAAATGGATAGTATCCCATGGAGTGAGGTTTGGAAATACTTAATGCTTACCAAGAGCAAAAACATAGAGCAATTTGTAATTTTGGTCAAACTTTAACCTTTATCTTTTTTCTTCACTTTTAGATTTTGGCTCTCTTTTTGACTTGGAGCATGACTTACCAGATGAATTAATCAACTCTACAGAATTGGGACTAACCAATGGTGGTGATATTAGTCAGCTTCAGACAAGTCTTGGCATAGTTCAAGATGCAGCCTCTAAACATAAACAACTGTCAGAATTGCTACGGTCTGGCAGTTCCCCTAACCTCAATATGGGGGTTGGTGGCCCGGGCCAAGGCATGGCCAGCCAGGCCCAACAGAACAGTCCTGGATTAGGTCTGATAAATAGCATGGTCAAAAGCCCAATGGCACAGGCAGGCTTGACTTCTCCCAACATGGGAATGGGCACTAGTGGACCAAATCAGGGTCCTACGCCATCTGCAGCAGGTATGATGAACAGTCCAGTAAATCAACCTACCATGGGAATGAACACAGGGATGAATGCTGGCATGAATCCTGGAATGCTGAATGCAGGCAATGGACAGGGGATGATGCCCAATCAAGTCATGAACGGTTCAATTGGAGCAGGCCGAGGGCGACCTAATATGCAGTACCCAAACCCAGGCATGGGAAATGCTGGCAATTTAATGACTGAGCCACTACAGCAAGGCTCTCCTCAGATGGGAGGACAAACAGGATTGAGGGGCCCCCAGCCTCTTAAGGTAAGTACATTTTTGGTTTGTATGCACTATCAGTATGTTTTTGATTATCCCAATGATGGAGGGAGGGCTTGAGGTCAGTTATTCACTTATCTTTACTATTCATGTTTAGTCTTCCTACATGGTGTACTGTTTCCCATGGATGCCAAGGATCTACTATGTTGTGATGAATTTTTTTTTAAATTTTTTAATGTTTATTTATTTTTGAGACAGCATGAACAGGGGAGGGGCAGAGAGAGAGGGAGACACAGAATCTGAAACAGGCTCCAGGCTCTGAGCTGTCAGCACAGAGCCTGACGCGGGGCTCAAACCCACAAACTGTGAGATCATGACCTGAGCCGAAGTCGGACGTTTAACCGACTGAGCCACCCAGGTGCCCCATGTTGTCATGAATTTTATGAAGCTCTTACATTAATTTTAAGTAAAACAATTATTTACAGCTCAAGGGTATTGTATAATAATACTTCAGTTCTAAATGATTGTTAGCTAATTCCTGTTTTGTCAATATTAGAATAAATATTAGAATATTTTCACAAATACCAGAATATTTTCATATCCTTTCTTTTTAATTTTTTTTAAGTTTTATTTTATTTTGAGAGAGAGAGAGAGCATGAGCAGAGTAGGGGCACAAAGAGAGAGGGAAAGAATCCCAAGCAGGCCCCATACTGTCTGTGCAGTGCCAGACCTGGGGCTTGAACCTACAAACATATCATGACCTGAGATGAAACTGAGTCAGACGCTTAACTGACTGAGCCACCCTGGCACCCTGTGTTTTCATCTCATTTCTAAGCCAGCTTTAGCATGCATAGCCTCCTTATATACTATGGGGCCGCTTTGGTGGCTCAGTTGATTAAGCAGTTGACTCTTGATTTTGGCTCAGGTCATAATCTCTGGGTCGTGAGATCAAGCCCCTTGTAGGGTTCTGCTCTGAGTGTGGAGCCTGCTTAAGATTCTTTGTCCCTTCCCCGCGTGCACATGCTCTCAAAAAAACCAACTAACCAAGGAAATAAATAAAAATACAGTTTTGAGCCAGCTGGCTTTATATTGTCTTCAGATAGACATCACTTATTTCCACTGCTTCGAATGTCCTTGGTATTCAAGAGATACCCTAAAAGATTTATTAAATGTTATTTTTCCTTGTTAGTTGATGGATGTTAAGGTGCATTAGTTTACTGTGAAGCCTCAACTGACATTCCAGGTGTCCAGTTAACCTGATTTTGGTCATTGTTTGAAAGGGTTTTCTTTAAAAAGCCTACTTTTTTTTTTTTTTTTTTTTTTTTAGCTTTTATTAAGTAGAGCAGCTAAATACATTTTGTAAAACTTTTTAAATGTGTTCTTTATATATAGAATTTATATAAGCATATATTTGTTGCTTATTCCTTCATATTTTTCCTGCATTTTTATTTATTTTTTCTTGAAGTGGTATCACACTACAGTTGCCAGCACCTGGTATGTGGCTGGTAAATAGTTGTTGAATGAAAGAGATGGTTTTGCTTGGAAGGGGATATTGGGGGTAGGCAAGATTTTCACAAGGAGTTGGGAGCAAGCTTTCACTGTAAAAGAAATAACTGAGCAAGCATTGGGACTTCTGTGTTCCTGAAAATTGTGATGAGATGAGAGAGAGTTCAGGGGTGAATTGGGAATGGGGAGACTGAGGTCATGTTAGATATGTGAAAGCCCCCCCCCTTTTTTTTTTTGCTATACAGTACAGAATACTGACCTCTTAGGGAAATTCCTACCTCCTCTGTAGATTATCCCTTTTTGATGCTTTCATGTTGCTGTGTCGATATGGTTTACTTAGAGTATTTGGAGTGAAAACCAGAAGCAAGAAGGTAAAATGTTTATTAGATACCTCTTTTAGGTTCTAGAACATAGTTGTGAGGAGTCCTTACCCTCCATTATTGTTATACTCCAGTGGGGAGAGGTGGTGTGACAGACTAAACCTTCACTGATTGATCAAATATTTACTGCATCCCAGCTTTGGTGCTCCAGATAGAGCAGTGATTAAACTTATTTCATAGATCTTACTTTTTTATTAGTGTGTACATAAGTTGTAAGTTTATAGTATTCTAAGTATTGCTATGAAGAAAAATTTAAAAAGGAAGGTCTCAGGGGCTCCTGGCTGCCTCAGTCCATAGAACGTGCAACTCTTTTTTCTTTTTTTTTTTTTAATTTTATTTATTTTTGAGAGAGAGAGAGAGAGAGAGAGAGAGAGAGAGAGAGACCGAGCCCGAGTTGGGGAGGGGTGGAGAGAGAGGGAGACACAGAATGTGAAGTAGGCTCCAGGCTCTCAGCTGTCAGCACAGAGCCTGAAGCGGGCGGGGCTTGAACTCAAGAACTGTGAGATCATGACCTGAGCCGAAGTTGGACACTTAACTGAGCCACCTAGGCTCCCAGAACGTGCATCTTAATCTCGGGGTTGTAAGTTCGAGCCCCACTTTGGGTGTATAGATGAGTTAAAAGTAAAATCTTTAGAAGCAAAGAAAAAAATGGAAAGACTCATTGGGATTGGGGCACTATTCTATTTATAATCTAAATCACAATTTCTTACATCAGCATTGTTTCAGGGACTGGATATATAGCAGTGTACAAAAGAGACAAAAATTCCTGTCCTTGTGGAGCTTCTGTTTTCCTGGGGTGGAGGAATTGAAATATAAAAATTCTATTATTAAAATATTTTGTTATTTAAATGAGCCCCATCTAGTTACCTGGGTGGCTCAGTGGCTTAGGCATCCAACTTTTGATCTCAGCTCAGGTCTTGATCTTAGGGTTGTGAGTTCAAGCCCCATGCTGGACTCTGTGCTGAGCATAAAGCCTACTTAAAACAGTGATAATAATAGGGGCACCTGGGTGGCTCAGTCACTTGAGCATCCAACTCTTGATTTCAGCTCAGGTCTTGATCCCAGGATTGCGGGATCAAGCCCACGTGGGGCTCTGCTGTATGTGGAGCCTGCTTAAGATTCTCTCTCTTTATCCCTCTGCTGCTCTCCTCCGCTCGTTCTCTCGCGCACTCTCTCCCTCTTAGAAAGTATTTAAAAACCAATAATAATTAAATGAATGAATCGCACTTATATTTTGTAAGTTGATATTTGTCAAGCACTTAGCGCAGTGCATAAGAACCCTAAATGTTTATTTAGCAAATGAGTTTTTGGGAATTGTGGAGGTTTAGGATGAGATACCCAGTTAATGTATAGATTAGTATACAAGTATAATATAAAATGTACTTTTATAAAATGAGTTTTCTCTTTATGGCAGGAAAAAAGCCCTTTCTATATTTTCCTATTGAAGATTAAAATAAATGCAAGTCAAGGCATTAAAATTGTTGGCTAGCAATTCCCCTTCCATGGGACCAGGTCCTAAAATTACCTCAAAGGGTCAATTATATTCATTACATTTCTTCCAAAATTCCTAAGAGTTCCAGTGATCTTTAAGAATCAGGAATTAAGGAGGCTTTCAGTGAGACTTGAAGATTTGAACCCTGTTGGCAAATGGCAGTGGTTTTTTTATACAGTTCTTTTTATGGATGAATCTGTGGTTCAGAGTGTGCAGGCAGGTTGTGACATTACTGCTTACAACATTCTTCCAAAAATTTGGCAAACTGGTTTATGGAAGGAAACTTGGATCATACACCCTTTTAACGTAGCCTTTGATTTTGCAGTTAGCATAAAATAAAGACAAATGTTGTCAGGAGGGTTCAGTGAGGGGCAGAATAGTGCACACTTTTTTTTGAACCATACTACCTGGATTAGAATCTGGGCTGTTAACATAAGCATCCTCCTCTTCTGCTGCATATTGGCAAAGCTTGGTTAAGTCATTTCACTCTGTAATAATTTCACAAAACTATATCTGCCTCCTCAAAAATGCTGGTGACAAAAGAAGTAAACTTTGAGAATCTTTTCCCTAATAGCTACCTTCTGTGTATGAAGAAAGATGAAGTTAATAAAAGCATCATAGTTAATGGTGTGGACTATGGAGCTTTACTGCCTGTGTTAAAAATGAACTCAGTCACTCACAGAGTAAGCTATTACCATGGGCAAGTTGCTTATTGTACTTCAGTTTTCCCACCTATAGAACGGAAATAATAAGAGTGAATGTCACCTACCTCATGGGATTGTCGGGGAACTATAAACGATTAGTAGAAGTAAGCCCTTTGTGAAGGGTATGTAGTAAGGACGTACTTGTAGAGTGGTAATAGTGGTAGCAAGTGCTTAGTATTATTGTAGTTTCCATTTTGTGATGTTCTTTTTTTTTTTAATTTTTTTTTTTAACGTTTATTTATTTTTGAGACAGAGAGAAACAGAGCATGAATGGGGGAGGGTCAGAGAGAGAGAGGGAGACACAGAATCTGAAACAGGCTCCAGGCTCTGAGCTGTCAGCACAGAGCCCGACGCGGGGCTCGAACTCACGGACCGCGAGATCGTGACCTGAGCCGAAGTCGGACGCTTAACCGACTGAGCCACCCAGGCGCCCCTAGTGATGTTCTTAAAAACATTTTTGTGGGGGAGGGGGAGAAATCAAATCGAGATCATGTAATCTTGTAATGGAGAAGCTGTAATCTTGTAGAGACGTAGAATCTTGTAATCATGTAATCGAGAAGCTGTAATCTTCTAGAGACGTAGCTCTATAAGATTATAGAGCTATAGATTAAGATTATAGACGGCTATAAGGGGAGATGAAACAACCCCATGAAATGGCTGTTGGCTGGAGGATATGGGAATGCCCATCAGTAGAGACTTCAGGGGATTAATATTCTATAAATTTGACAGAAAATTAACTTTCTTTGGAAATGAGGACTTTTTATTCAGGAAGTGTTCATTAACATTCTGGAGGGGGTTTTTTTTGTTTTTTTTTTTTTCCCTTAGAAAATAAAAAAAAAAAAAACCTGTTCTGTGAAAGCACTTGTTAACAGTTAAAGAGACAAGATCCAGAATATTATCAAATAGCAACATCAGACAGTATAATTGTACCTAAATTAATGTTAGGCTCCAAAAGCTAAGGAGCTA